CGACCCAGGAAGATCATCTGCTCAGGAAACATGCTGGATTGCAGGCGGGTCGTGAAAACGCGCAAAAGGAATTTGAAAGAATCATCGGGGAATATGATAAGTCGCTCAAGAAGTCGAGTGACGATATCGATGCGAACCGGCGGTGGAAGGAAACGATTGCTCAGCGTGAAGCGGAAAACGAAAAGGCGGCAGAGCAAGACAAGAAGCTTTTAGCTGAATTAGATGAAGAGGCAATTATGGATGATTCGTTTTAACTTTTTACTAATAAATGTTTGTACACTACTGTGGACGTTTCATCAAGCCGTCGTCTTGCATGACAATATCTTTTCATCTTCATTCGCCATCCCGTTTTGAACCGTGGTGAGCCAAGTGGGGGCGCGTTTCGAGAACAGGGGCAGGGGCTGGGTCCCGCCACGAATCGCCTGTCCGGTAAGGCCCCAGCCCAGTCCCGTGCTACAGGGAAAGGGCGGGTTTTCATCATCATTTTACTTTTCTCGATGTTTTCTTCGTCGTTTTCTGAAATGCGACGAGGCTTTTCTCTTCTCGATGCGTTACATTTTCTTGCATATTTCATTTCCATAACTTCCGGCTTTCACCTGTCTATTGCTAATTTGTGACATTTTCTAGGTAATCCTCATTGGCTGCTCAACTTCAAACGGAACGGGCGCTGCTATTTCGCATTGCCGGTAAAGTTGATCTTAAGTGTATTATATTTCTTTGTTTAGTAGCACACACGACAACCAGCGCTGCCACACCACAAGGATCCTTTTGGCCCTCACACACGGCAGTGCCATTCAGGCAAACTTATTGGATCCATAGCTTACGGCTTCCATTTTTAGGTCGGTGCACGGCAACGCTAAATCTCGGCCTCAACGATTCGCCATTGCCAGGTAAACTCGCGTTTATTTCTTCTTTACATTCATCGTCTAGGTGGCAAACACAGCGCGAAGCCGCCTCCGACGCTCAAGTCCACGCGTGCTGCCAATACGCATTGCCGGTAAAGTTTGCTTGCTTCTGTTATATACAATGCTTAGGTGCAAAACAACACAAAGCAGACGACAGCCACCCCCTTACAAGTCATCGAGATCCTCGAGCTCCTCCTTCAGGTAAAGCTCCTTGGATCGATGGTTTACGTGGTCCATTTTTAGGCCGGTGCCAGCAAGAATCCACGGGCGATCCCTCTACATTCTTTCTGCCAGGTATACTCGCCTTTATTTCTTTTTCACTTAATACTTAGGTCTAAACAACAAAAACCATCAGGACGTCGCTCTCTGCCATTCATTTGCCGGTAAAGTTGAGTTTACTTCTCTTATATACCACATGCTTAGCTGCCAACAACATCAAGCCTTCCAGCGTCACAACACTTCTTCCGCCGCCTACTACACGGGTGATCCTTTCAGGTAAAGCTTTTGAATTGATCGTTTACGTTTTTCATTTCTAGGGCGGTCCAAGCCAACCTTCAAAAGGGGAGCTGTGGTTTTCAAGCCACGTGCTCTGCCACTCATTGCCGGTAAGCATCAGGTTACTTCTCTTATATTCCATGCTTAGGTGCATATAACAACAACGCTACAAGAAATGCCAAGGGCCCGACTGACAGCCGCCGAACGCGAAGCCGCTGCGGATCGCCGACGGGAGCAACAACAGGTACGCCGGGCAGCGGAGTCAGCGCAGGCGGCGGCTGACAGGAGAGCCGCTGATGCAGTGCAGGCATCGAGCGGCGGCGCCGCGGCATGTCGCCGGGCACGTCGACGCAAATCCGACAGAAGCGAATACCGCGCAACACCAGGCCCGAAGGCGTACTCTGTCACCCGGCACGTCAACGCCAATTCGACAGGCCAACACGCTGCAACATCAAGCAATGAGGCGTACGATGTCACCCGGGGACTGCGGCGCCAACTCGCCAAGCCAACGCGGCACAACACCAAGCCCGGAGGCGTACGATGTCACCCGGGACTGCGGCGCCGATTCGCCAAGCCAACGCCGCGCAACACCAGGCCCGGAGGCGTACAATGTCACCCGGGACTGCGGCGCCAATTCGACAAGCGAATGCTGCGCAACACCAAGCCCGGAGGCGTACCCTGTCACCCGGGACTGCGGCGGCAATTCGACAAGCGGATGCTGCTCAACATCAAGCCCAGCACGCGCAGCTCACACCGGTTCAACTGGCTGCCGTGAATCAACAGCGCCAAACGGTTCGGCAGCAACGAGCGGCGGCTGCCATACGCCCAGGACGGGATCCGGGCTCGCGCCCCGCCCAGCACTATCTCGGAGCTATGCTCCGCCTCTGCCTTGGCTGCAATGCCTTGCATTTCGAGTCGGAAGGCAATGGCCGGCGCCCACAATCGTTTCAAGCATGCTGTGGCGGTGGGCAGGTCATTGTCGACCCTTTTGGAGACACTCCGCCTGAGCTCCGGATGTTGTTCGAACGGGACCACAATGCCGGAGCAAACTTCCATCAAAACATCCGGCTACTGAACGGAGGCCTGGCAATGGCGTCGATGGCAGGAGATTTTCAATCTCCGCCTGGGCATGGACCGTATGTGTTCCGCATACACTCCACCCACTACCATCGGACGGGCCCGCTTCGTCCCAACCACGGCCAGCCGCCCCAATGCGCCCAAATCCTTATCATGGACACGGAAGAAGCGGCAGCCGAATTGGCCGGGCGTCCGATGAACCGCAACTGCGACACGGACCTGTTCCGACAGCTCCATCAAGTTATAAACCGGCACCACCGCTACGCGCAGGCCTTCAAATGTATGGACGAGGTGGTCAAGGAAGAGGAGCGACAAGCCGTAGCCGCCGGGCGTCCACGACAAGCCGAAGTCAAAATGGTGTTCGTCACGGACGGGCGTGACGACCAGCGCCGTTACAATGCGGCCACAGCCACCGAAGTGGCCGTCATCTACGTTGGGGATGAAGAGGATATTCCCGGCGAGAGACAATTTGTGATCCACGAGCGCAACCAGCCTCTGAAGACGATCAGCATCCTGGATCCCCGCCTCGATCCGCTGACATACCCATTGCTGTTTGCAACCGGGCTGAATGGCTGGCATCCCGGGCTGACCATTGCCAACCCAGGCGCGCGCCACAACACCCGGATAACGATGCGCCGCTACTATGCGCACCTCTTTTTCCCGAGGCCTGGCAAATTCAATCCGCTGCTCCGGGCTGGCCGCCTCTGCCAACAATACGCCGTCGATGTTTTTATGCGGGTCGAACAAAATGAGCTCCAATACATCCGGCAAAATCAAAAACGTCTACGGCTCGACGATTTGCATGGCCTGCGCGCTCACCTCAACAACAATAACCCAGGAGATCCAGCGCCCGGCCGGATCATCCGTTTGGGATCGAAGTTCAAGGGCGGGCCCGGCTACATGTACGCGCGGTACACCGACGGAATGGCGCACGTCTACCGTTTCGGAAAGCCGGACCTGTTCATCACGGTCACTTGCAATCCAAGGTGGCGCGAAATAGAAGAAAACCTGTTTGCCGGCCAAACAGCTTCGGACCGACCGGATTTGGTCGCCCGCGTCTTTGACATGAAGGCGCAGTCAATCCTGAAGGAGCTTACAAAAGATGGGGTTTTTGGAGAGCCCAGTTGCTTCATCTGGGTAATCGAATACCAGAAGCGCGGGCTCCCCCACATGCATCTGCTTATGACGCTGAAGTCAGCCTACAAATTGCGCACGGAGGCTGACGTTGACAACATCATTTGTGCTGAGCTCCCCGACAAGGCCACCGACCCGGAGCTGTACAACATCATCTCCACGTGCATGATCCATCGCCCCTGTGGATTCGACAACCCGGCCTCGCCATGCATGACGAAGAACAAGTGCCAAAAGGGATTCCCCAAGGCCTGGCGCCAACATACGGCGATGAACGACGATGGGTATCCGGCGTACCGACGTCGTGATGATGGTCGTTTTGTCATTTGCCGAGTCAACGGACGAGATATCAAGCTCGACAATCGCCACGTAGTGCCATACAGCCCATACCTCTCGAGAAGATTCGCCGCGCACATAAATGTCGAATACTGCGGAGTCGTCCACGCAGTCAAGTACCTCTACAAGTACTGCTTCAAGGGCCCCGATCGTGCACGCGTCGAGATAACCGGTGGTGACAGAGACGAAATAAAGCAATTCCTCGACACCCGCTATGTCTGTGCCCCCGAGGCTCTGTATCGGCTCTTTGGCGGTTCCATGGATGACCAGTCGCACTCGGTCGACCGCCTTCCGGTTCACCTACCGGACCAAGCAAGCATCTGTTTTGAGGAGGGGGACGAGGAAGGGGCGTTGGAACGAGGAGAGGCAAGGGACACAATGCTGACCGCCTTCTTTCAACTGAACCAGAAGTGCCATGAAGCAGAGCAGCAGGCTGGCGTCGCCCCGATCCCGGATTCACGCCAGCTCCACTACCATGCCCTGCCGGAACACTACGTATATAACGCCACGACCAGGGTGTGGACGGTGCGCAAACGCGGAGGCAACTTGAAAATTGGACGTCTCATGGCCGTAGCCCCACAAAACACCGAGCGCTTTGCCTTGCGCATGATGCTGCTCTACGGAAAAGGCTACCGGTCGTACGAGGACGTTCGTACGGTCAACGGACGGATCTACCCGACCTACGTCGAAGCCGCCCGCGAAGCCGGGTACATGACAGATGATATCTGTTTCGAGCAGGCCCTCGATGAAGCTGCCGGGTTCCGGATGCCGCGCACGCTTCGATCGTTCTTCGCCTCCCTGCTGTGCTTCGCCGATATTTTTCCACCAAAGCCTGATCAACTTTGGGAGCGGTACAAGGATCAGTTCTGCGAAGACTTCATCCACCAAGGACACGCGCCGCACGTTGCTGAATCGCTCGCGTTCCACGACATTTGTGATCGGATTGCTGACGCTAATCGGCGGCCGGAGACCTTCTTCTTGACGGTGCGACTTCAGCGCTTGAATCCGAACGAGCCGCCACCTGATTACGAGGCGCACCGCAGGATCGGCCAGGATATGTACGCAAGACTGAATGCAGAGCAGAAGGTCGTCGTTGATGCCGTCCTCGGCGCCCTGCATGGCCGTTTGCCGAATTCAAGAACCTGTCACTTCATTGATGGTCCCGGAGGCAGCGGCAAGACCTTCGTCTACAAAACGATCTATCACCTCGCCGTCGCCGCTAAGAAGAACATCCTCAACATCGCATGGACAGGTAATTTCTTAAATTTAAGTTTTTTTGCGTAATTAACCTTCTAATTTTTCTTTCCAGGCATCGCGGCGGCCCTACTTCCGGACGGCAAGACCGTCAGCTCCGCCTTCCAGCTCTCCATCCTCGATCACACATCAACTCTGAAGAACCAAGACAAGAAGGCCCAAGAATTGAGAAAGGTCTGATTTGTTTTCGTTTTTTGTTTGACCGTCTTTTATGCAAGCGCTTTTTTCAGGTCGATGCCGTCATCTGGGATGAGGCGCCAATGGCTCCGAAGAAAGCGTTGGAAGCTATCGACGAGAAGCTGAAGGATCTGATGGGAAACCAGGCCCCGTTTGGCAACAAAATCTTCCTGCTCGGAGGCGATTTTCGCCAAGTTCTCCCCGTCGTGGAGCGCGGAAGCCGCAGGGATATGATCGACGCCACCATCAAACGCTCCCGACTTTGGCGCGAATTCCAGCAGCATACACTCAAGACGAATATGAGGGCGTCGGGAGACGATCAAACGTTCAAGGACTGGCTCCTCAACATTGGCAATGGCGCTGATCAGTTCGAAGGACAAATCGACGTTCCCAGTTCAATGGCGAATCAAGACAACTTAGCCGACAAAATTTTTGGTCCGGCATTCAAAGGCGAGCCGCTGGATCTTTCCGTTCGCGCCATTCTCGCCCCCAAAAACGCCGACGCATTGGACATCAACAACGAAGTTTTGGAAGCAATGCCGGGGCAAACTGTAACGTTCATCAGCCAGGACGATGTGGAATCGGAGAACCCCAACGACGGCTACAAGTATCCGACCGAATTCCTCAACAAAATCGTTTGTGCCGCCCTCCCACCGCACAAGCTGAACCTCAAGGTCGGATGCATCGTCATGCTACTCCGAAATCTCTCGGTGAAGGACGGCCTATGCAACGGCAGCCGAATGTATGTGCGAGCAATCGGCCAACGCGTGCTCACCTGTGAACTGGCCACCGGGGACCGACAGGGCGAAATGGTGCTGATCCCCCGGATCGATTGTCGATACCAATACGACAAGAATCTCTTCAAGGTCATCCGCCGACAGTTCCCCGTCCGGTTGAGCTACGCTATGACGATCAACAAGTCGCAAGGGCAAAGCTTTGATCAAGTTGGACTGGCCCTCCACGTACGGATCTTCTCGCACGGCCAACTATATGTGGCGCTTTCAAGATCTCGCACCCGGGCCGGGATTCACATCGATTCGCCCACCAATCAAATGGATAACATCGTTTTTAAAGAAATCTATGATGCCTAACTGTTCGTGCCATTTACTGTCGATAAATATTTGTTCTATTGGTTTGGTCGTCATTGAATTTTTTGATAGCCGTCTTACCGGCGTTAATATCTTCATTTTGTATGCCCGCAGCTATAATCGTGCCCACGCAAAGGCCAGATGGTTAAAGCCACGAAGTGGCTTTAACCATCTGGTA